AGTATAAATTCAGACCAAATGAAAAATATTTCTCTTCATTATGGCTTATAATTGGATACAAATTTGAAGGTATATGTTGAAACAGAAATAACAGGATATTTGGTTGAATTTGAGGGATTCAAGAGACCCCAAATAGCTTGTAAATTTAGTCTGCCCTTTGTAACAAAAAGTCCATTATATTACTTGATCGAGATAAATTATCTTTATGTACAAGAAATTTTTAAAAAATATTCTGGTTCAAAAGAAATCCTCGACCACCAGATATCCCCGATTAAAAGATCGGTCCCTAAATGATAAATGTGAATTCACACATGGAATTTCATGACCATACTTGCAACAGTGTCTATGAAACCCAGCTACAAGCGATAAATAGTGGCTTGCGCCCTGTATCAAGGGAATTATAATCGATGGATATATCTAACAGCGATATGAGAGAGAAAAGAGTCGGTTGGGGTATACAATGAGATAGTCACCTTTCACCCGGTAACGCATTGCGATGACCCCGACGATCTCGTTACACAACAAATGACTTACTTATCTATTCTATTGCTCTTAATATAGCACGTTAAAGCTTATTTTATTATAGGCGAATACCCAAAGAATGGTCACCTCAGCTCCTACTCCAACAAATTGGGTATTATGCTGATAACCATTCCAGGCAAAGTGTTCAGTCGAGTCCTACTGAACAGGATAAAACGACGCCGTCGACCTACTGCTCCGAGACCAACAGGCTGGTTTTCGCAAAAATAGATCGTGCACTGATCAGATAGCAACATTTCGCATAAGTTTGGAACAGTCACTTGAATGAAACTCGCCGCCTTATGTCAACTTCAACGACTACGAAAAGACCTTCGACGGCATAGATAGACAGACCCTCTGGAAGCTGCTGAGGCACTATGGAGTACCAGGAAAAATCATAAGGAACTCCTACGAGGGAATGACGTGTGGAGTGGTCCATGGCCGGCAATTTACCAGCGTTCCAAGTAAGGACATGAGTGAGACAAGGATGTTTATTGTCACCCTTTATTTTTCTACTCGTGATAGACTTTATAATGAAGTCATCATTAGCCCACAAACAAAATGGCATACAGTGGACCCTCTGGACACAACTGGACGACCTTGACTTTGCAGATGACCTGACTCTTCTCTCCCACACCAACAACAGATGCAAGAAAAGACCAACATCATTGGAAAGACATCAACAATCACTGGTCTTAATATAAATAAAGGAAAGAGCAAGATCCTGAAGGTCAACACAGCAAACTCAACACTCATCAAGCTGGAAGGTGTGGAGCTGGAAGAGGTGGAGAGATTTACCTACCTTGGCAGCACAGTTGACAAAGAGCGTATAACTGATGCTGATATTAAGACCCGTATCGGCAAGACAAGAACAGTATTCTGCCAGCTGAAAAATGTCTGGTCATCCACAGAACTGACAGCTAATATAAATATCCGAATGTTCAACACCATTGTAAAACCGGTCCTACTCTATGGAGCTGAGACCTGGAGAACCACCACAACCAATATGAAAAAGATACAGACATTCATCAATACCTGCCTCAGAAAAATCCTCCAAATTCGCCGATTAGACAAAATCAGTAGGAACAACTGTGGCAACGAACACAAAAACAGCCTCAGAAGAATACTCCAAATTCGCTGATCAGACAAAATCAGTAACAAATAACTGTGGCAACGAACACAATAATAGCCTCAGAAGAAACCTCGGAATTCGCTGATCAGACAAAATCAGTAACAAACAACTGTGGCAATGAACACAATAACAGCCTCAGAAGAAACCTCGGAATTCGCTGATCAAACAAAATCAGTAACAAACAACTGTGGCAACGAACACAATAACAGCATCAGAAGAATACTCCAAATTCGCTGATCAGACAAAATCAGTAACAAATAACTGTGGCAACGAACACAATAACAGCCTCAGAAGAAACCTCCGAATTCGCTGATCAGACAAAATCAGTAACAAACAACTGTGGCAATGAACACAATAACAGCCTCAGAAGAAACCTCGGAATTCGCTGAACAAACAAAATCAGTAACAAACAACTGTGGCAACGAACACAATAACAGCCTCAAAATTCGCTGATCAGACAAAATCAGTAACGAACAACTATGGCAACGAACACAATAACAGCCTCAGAAGAATACTCCAAATTCGCTGATCATACAAAATCAGTAACAAATAACTGTGGCAACGAACACAATAACAGCCTCAGAAGAAACCTCGGAATTCGCTGATCAAACAAAATCAGTAACAAACAACTGTGGCAACGAACACAATAACAGCCTCAGAATTCGCTAATCAGACAAAATCAGTAACGTACAACTGTGGCAACGAACACAATAACAGCCTCAGAAGAATACTCCGAATTCGCTGATCAGACAAAATCAGTAACAAATAACTGTGGCAACGAACACAATAACAGCCTCAGAAGAAACCCCCGAATTCGCTGATCAGACAAAATCAGTAACAAACAACTGTGGCAATGAACACAATAACAGCCTCAGAAGAAACCTCGGAATTCGCTGATCAAACAAAATCAGTAACAAACAACTGTGGCAACGAACACAATAACAACCCTAGGATTCGCTGGTCAGACAAAATCAGTAACGAACAACTGTGGCAACGAACACAATAACAGCCAGCAGAGGAAGATATTCTTCAACAACACTGGAGATGGATAGACCACACACTCCGTAAGCCTGCATCCAGTACCACCAGCCAAACACTCACCCGGAACCACTCAGGGGAAAAGGAAGAGAAGCCAGCCAAGAAATACCTGACGGTGGAACCTAAAGAAGACAAGCCTCACGTGGGGACAGATGGATAACAATATCGTGTTTTTTAATCAGGCGTTGGCAAATACAAAAGAGAGCAAACTATTAAAGTTACGTTAATTACTGTCTTTTGAATGGATATGTGTATTTTTGCAGTCTTCTTGCGATTTTGAAACCATAAAAGACGCGTGAGAAAAGTCGAATCGTCGTACTTTATTGATAAAACGTCAGACTCCTGTGGATGTATCAACACGCAAGACTGTCTGTGTACGTTCCTAAAGAAATCGTGATTGCTGGCTGGACCCCCACCCATATCCACAAATCTGCTTGGAATTATATTAGCCGCTACTGCATATACGTACACATTTTCACCTAATGACACGATGCGTTACGTTTCATCATTGCGTTCATTGCGGTAGCTTGGCTAAGACGACTTATTCTCAAAATTCGCAAGTTTCCTTTTTCAAGAGTGAACTCACAACGAACTTTCTTTTGCTAGATTTATGCAAGTAATTCCATAAGGGAATCATAATGTGTTGCCATGGTTCTATTTTGCCTAGAGTACTTTCATTATGTAACTGAGTTTTCCGCCATCATCACGTATCGTTTCATAGCGGAATCATCTCGGCTTATTGTTGACCTAAGGTCTCACAAGATATGATCTGATGCCCATCCGCTATTAAACAAATCCAAATCAACCTGTTGTTCTGGTATACCGCAATATCCAATGCTGGTATTAGTCAAGCAATAAATGTACTACAGTGGATTAATACTTTAATATCATCAAACTTTGTACATTCAGCCTAAATCTTGTAATTGACTCACGCCATCACAATCTTAACATCTGCGGTCTTTACCACCAAGCAATATAAACAACATTACGCCTTAATTAATGTGTAGTCATTTTGTAATATAGTGGTACATGTTGAGAAGGCAACCAGCAAATAATACAATCGTCTCAAGTGTGGTTTTTATACGCCATGTTTTCAAATCTACAAAATTTATGGGCGTTGAATGGCATCTGAATAAAATAATAAAATGATCAAGCTGGATTCATTATTTATTAAATCTGAAATCTTTAACGACACTAAGCATTAATCTAGAATATTTACATATATAGGTTGTGATTAATACATTACAGGTGCAGCTTTACACACCGTGTCCTACAACTTGGATTCTAATGGGGTAAGTGAATGCATGATGTCAAAATTATACACCGAAGCAACAATTATAACAAATATGACTTCCAGTGAAGTTAAGCAGGACTAAAGTTTTATTTCCATCTTCAAAATCATCATTTGCAGGGGTATAATTGAAGTCATTGATGAGTAGGTCCGTTATTCATAATGTTGGGATATATCAATGGCACCCCAAGTCTAATACGTTGATCAACATACTAATCATAATCTTTGATGCTAATGAAGCCGACGTAAATGCAAATTTAATAGAAATGAGAATTAATAACATTTTCATAATTTCCTCTCCAGTTAGCGGCGCATGCAATATGTTCGAAATTGCAGAAATATTAAAATTGATTGACTTCAGCGGCATTAGAAAGTGAAAAGGGTGCCAACAGTTTTTACATTTTTGATACTCATATTCAAGTACTTTATTACTGTTTAAACATAAAATAAATGAAACCAAAAACATAGAACCCTCCAAAATACGGAGCAATGGGTAATTAGTTAACTTTGGGCAGTTTAGGAATCTAATGATCTACGATCTGTTGTAGTTTGCTGAAAGACTATTATGTGCACACAGAATGAGCACACCAAAACAACAAGCATGTTAAAAGATGTAATGAAAAAATTAAAATTACTAAAAGTTTCAATTCCTGTACAGACCAAAATTTCGTTAGTCCATTACCCGTTCCCCAACCAATCTAATTTATTTAAAATCATATTTAACTGAGATTAAAAACAAATTCTTATAAGTGAACATAAACACACTATATCTCATGTCAATATACAAGCTTTAAGTTAACAATTTTAATGCGTATGTGTGTGGTTTAGATTTTTAACGTAGCGTTAACAATTGTTCGAGTCACATAGCTACGATATCTGCAGTGCGGCATTTTTTAGTGATGTCTAGCACTGTACCATTATGTCCTACCGAATCACCAGGCCGATCAATCCTAACACTAACCTCTTAATGCTGAGCGTCAAACGATGCAGCTGATAGTACCTTGTTATAATTCTTTGGTATGACTCTGCTGAGGTTCGAACCCGCGACATCCTGCATCCGAGGCGGCGGACGCTCTAACCACCTGAGCCACAGGAGCGGTTATCAACTTTTAATGTTCTTATGTTCTTCTATTAAAACTAAAGTGTAGCTATTGTAACGAATGTCAACTAACAAATACAGAATTTAAGCCGTGTCATTTGCTTTCTGACTGTTGTGGTGACTATATCTCTCATTAAAAAACGAAGAAATAATAGACCTGATGTATAACATCTGTACAGCTGTAACTGGATGATTTGAAAATCTGTCTTATATATTAAGTGCAGCTAGTTCGTTGCTGGAACACACACACACACACACACACACACACACACATACGTATGTATGTATGTATGTATGTATGTATGTATGTATGTATGTATGTATGTATGTATGTATGTATGTATGTATGTATGTATGTATGTATGTATGTATGTATGTATGTATGTATGTATGTATGTATGTATGTATGTATGTATGTATGTATGTATGTATGTATATATATATATATATATCTATATATATATCTATATATATATATATATATATATATATATATATATATATATATATATATATATATATATATATATATAATCATCACATGTTTAACGGAAATGTAAGACTTAATGTAAAATTAGATTTTGGAACTTGATGGTCCCATATCAGTCAAATATCTTTCTAAAGAAGATATCATTCCCATCAAAGTAGGCCAGGTTTAAATTATAATTTAACAGCATTAAAACTGACAATGCTGTTGTGAACGCCCTAAATGGCTTTAACAATGCTACGATTCATCAAGAGAAATGGTTTGTAAATATTAAAGGCATTTAATGTAAGATTTAATTTAAACACTATTTTGAATTCCATTATCTACAAAGTATGTCTTCACAAATTACATGTTCCAAAGTTTTATCTTAATAATTATGTCTTTAAAAGATAACAAAGATTTACAAAAATCGTATCTATTCACTTTGAAATACACAACTTCTCCTAATTGTGTGCGTGTAAACGTGAAAATGGCAGTATTGTATGTTTGTGTGTGCGAGGAAACTTGAACACAACAGTATTGTATGTTTGTATGGAACTGAATGGCACATAAACATACGAAAGGTTTTATCATGCCAAAGCATTTGCAGTAAAGTTTCTTACCCAACATCATTACTAGCCAAGGTTCCGATATGATAACCATAGCTAAATCTGGTTGTTTTTTTTTTAAATTTTAAGAACCTACGTTTGATTGGATGCGGTGGCCTGCCAGACCTGAAGCACATAAATATATGATTATTGAGCACCGCATCCAAACTTAAGCTGTTCAAATTTGAACACTCTTCCAACATGATCGAAACAAAGGGGAACACAACTTGAATGGACTGATAAATAAGCAATTTTCCTCTGCCGGTCAGAGTTTGTGCAAATACCTTTCACTCAAAGACATATATAATGGCTTCCATCTAGTACGTAGTCATATTTTCGATGTTAAACTTACATAGTATCCTTTAATAAATGGTAAGAAAACATATTGAATGTTTACAACAAGTGGTTACTTGTTCTTTGTCTATAATGATCAAAATCACAATTCCGATTTCTCCTTTCCACACTATTCTGCAAACTTTGCGCGTGACCTTCAGTATATGAGTATGGCATGAAACCCTAACACGTGAGTGTACCTTGGGACCAATGACCAATATTATTGCTCTTCAATATGTGTGACACAACAGGTGCTCAGGAAGTATGTCTGATGTTCTGTCCTAGTGTACGTTTCCTCAATGACACCTCATAACATATGCTCCAGGATGCCGCTCGACACACTGGGCGATATCAGCCTGTGCCCATCTCTCTCATGTCATAGTCTTTATATGTTTTTAAATATGACCAGTCATCAAAAACAATAATTTGTCACTCTATCCACTCATTTAAAACGTTTGAATAATTTTTTTTTTATTCAAAACAACCAGTACAAATGTAATTATGATAAGCAAATAAGCATTAATGAAAACTGTCTGAAAATTATAAAAGCAAGAAACCGTTTATTTTAAGTGGGAAATCCGACCTTGATTGAAGCTAAAATGTGCGTGTTGTCTTAACCGAACAGTTTCAAATTGTACAAAAGGACTTTCATGTAAAACTTTGAAACTGTGGAATAAGAATGCATTTTCTCTGACGAACACAAGCCTTTTACTTGAGTACTTCAGTTTAAATCAAACGATAGAAGTCATTTGTACCCAGTCATGTGATAACATGCATGATCATTGTTCATACAGAAGCAGCAAATGTCAGATCTGTTCGAGGGAAATACTGACGAAGAAAACACTTATGTAATTATATATTCTTTTTGATAAAACATCCAATACTGAACGCATGTCGCAGTGAAGGAACGAAAACGCCCATCAGGAAATTAAGTTGACAAAGACGATAAAGGCGTTCAACTTAATTGGAAACAAGAAAAATAGACTTTTTCACAGCTGTCTTGCACCACTGTTGCAGCTTCCTTTGTTATTGAACAAGCCGCATTCACGTGTTACTCGCCAGTCCACCCGTTTATGCTATGATGGACCCTAATTAACAGCGTTAAATGATCACTCCTTGCCTCTCCACACTACATTGTGCACTAGACTAAATGACCTGGGACTATATTCATCATTCCATAACTGTAAACGGAAGCGAAAAAAGAAGCGTTGTTTCAAAGCTGGCCGGTTAGAACAGAAAAAAATTTCAGTTATCTACCTTTCGCCATTTCCGGCATAGAAATTTTAAAATTCCGTCGTTAATTTAGTCAACCTAATTCAATTTTCAATTGAATCGTCAATCTTTGTGTCAACTATTGAAGAGATACAACTGCGCATTGCATTGCATTATTCAATGCCCAATCAGTAGGACCATCAGAAAAGCGCACATAAATAGTTAATTGTATCAACGATCAGAAAGAACATCTACATCTTTTTCCTGACAGAAACATGGCTAAAAATATTAGGCGACGAACCCAAGCGCGCCACACCTGTTACTCCATCAAGTCATTCCCCGGCCACTGCCGAGGAGATGGAATTGGTGTCATCGCAAAAAAAATTCCATGATCAACCGTCTCAACTACACTTCAACTTTTAATTTCGACCACACATCGTTTGAACTAAACTACACTCATACTGGAACAAAGGTCAGTAGATTTTTTTCCCTCTACCTCCCTTCTCTTAGTAGGGAACACAAGCTGACAGAATCTCTCTTTTTGGAGCAGTTTTCGTATCTCCTGGAATATGGAAATTCGATAGGTGGCTACCTAATTATTCTTGGAGATTTCAACTTTTACTTTGACTGTCCTGAAAGCCCATACACATCGAAACTCCTAGATTCCATTCACGTTTTCAACCTCAATCAGCTAGTTAGCCAACCCAACAATAAACATGGTCACATTTTAGACTGGATTCTTTACAGACCTGATGATAATATTCTTCAGTCTTTCCTGGTGTCCCACGAACTTTCATCAGATAACCTCTGCATTATATGCCATCTTGACGTATCAGTCCCTAACCAGTCCACCTTTATTCGCTACTAAGAGAAACCTTCGCATGATAAACAGAACCAATCTAATGCATGACATTATCATGCATAACGTATCAGTCCCTAATCAGTCCACCTTTATTGCTACTAAGAGAAACCTCCGCATGATAAACAGAACCAAACTAATGCATGACATCCAAGCAAACTTAACTAGCTTACCTACTACAGCAGAACAACTTGATAACTGCCTGCGTTCATTGCTCAACAAACATGCCCAAGCAACCAAGTGCAAAGTAGCAATTCAGAAATAAGTGTTATCCGTGGGATAGCAGTGTTAAGGACCAGAAGCACTGCTAAAAGAGACCGTCGTAAAGCTGAGAGGCTTTGGCTTTCCACCAGACTCACTATTCATAAGCAGATTTATGATGCCGCTAAAAAGAATGTCACAAACATAGTCCATGCAGCGAAATCGACCAACTACAGTAATAAGATCACGAAAAGTTCCAGCTGAAAAGAGCTATTTGAGATTACTAACAAACTACTGTCAAGGAACAAATGTGCACCACTACCAGCTACCTTCTCTCTAGTTGACCTTTCGAACCTGTTTGCAAATTTTTTCCGTGACAAAGTACAAACCATAAGAGATAAACTTGACAACACAATTTCAGTTGACTCGTCATCACCATACAGTTACGATACAGAATTTTAGCGGCAACCGTTATCAGCATTTGAACTTGTCTCCATGGATTTAGTACGTACAATCGTGATGAAGAGTGCACCAAAGTCATGTGAACTGGATCCGATTCCAACTTAACTGCTGCTAGAGTGATAGGATCCAATAGCCTTCACTTACTAATGTTATTAATACGTCTCTCTCATCTGGGGATTTCCCATCATTTTTACAAAACTGCCATTGTAAAGTCTCTGCTGAAGAAACCAACACTCGTCCATCATGATCTAAAGAGCTACCGCCCAGTTTCTAATCTCCCATTCATGTAAAAATTCTTAGAAAAAAGTTGTTCTATCCCAACTTGCATCTCATCTGAATTCAAACAGTCTTTTTAGCTATGTACAGTCTGCATATCGGCCTCGCCACAATACTGAAACTGCTCTTCTGAAAGTAGTCAATGACCTTCTCTCCGCTTTGGATGGTGGAAAGACTACAGTCCTCACTCTCCTTGACTTGTCTGCAGCATTTGACACTATAGACCATGATATGTTACTTCTCCGTCTCCAGCATGTATTTGGCATTCACGATACGGCCTTACTATGGTTCAAGTCCTACATGGTCAATAGGACACAAATTGTGTCCGCAAATGTAAACCACTCTAGCCCAGTTGATCTATTCCGTGGTGTTCCACAGGGGTCTGTTGTTGGACCTGTTTTCTTCATTCTCTACACTCAGCCACTCTCAAGTGTCATAAATCATCATCCAGTGTCTCACCAAGTGCATGTTGATGACACCCAAATATACAAATCTAGCCATCAAGCTAAAGTTAAAGCTACCATCCAAGGCGTAGAGAGGCGTATTTCTGATGTGAAATCACGGATGACGTATAACAAGCT